CTAAAGGACTTTTGCTGGTGTTTGTTAACGCCAGAGTCTCAAATGGAATCCTAGGTAGCAGTACTCATAGTTATGGAGCAGTTTGTACAGATTCCTCCACTGGCGGAGGAAGATTGGGTTTGCAGTCAGTGATCAGTAACCCTAGCAGATGCCACCCATAGGCCCTCTTGTGGAGAACTATATGGCTGCTCACACCATCCAGTGGCCCTCTGCTGCAGAAGTACCCACACCATGCACACTGAAGAAAGAAACTGAGTAACCATAGGTGGGGGTGGCCCATATTTGGTAAACCCAAGAAAATCCAAAGGGTTGGCTGATTGTCGGGCAGCATAGGTAACTAGCATTCCTCTCAGGGTCCATGGGTAAGTTTCCCCTGAAACAGCAGGGTCTATGACTTTAAATGCCCTGTCCAGCCCCCTGCCCCACATCAACACAGGAACAAGTGCCCAGAGAAGTTCAGAAAGAGGACAAAGTCACTAGAAAGACAAGGGATAGACTTGATAGTTTTACTCCTATGGAGAACAGGCACATAGGTTTTGTGACTGCCTCTAGATGAAGTGTAATTTTGGGCAGGTCTGGACAGGAGAGAATAGGGCCCAGAAAAAAGCCCTATGGAAACTCACAATATCAGAAGTGAATGGCCAACAAACACTGGCCCTTGTAGAGTTGGGGTGTGACCATACATTTGTATGGGAGTGGAAACTGGAACAGTAGGTAAGCTGGCAAAGGGTGAAATCCCCATTAAATGCACACTTGGAGATATTCTTGGGTATACCAGCATGACAGTAAAATTGACTGTTGATGGGAACAAAGGCGAAATGAAAGTATGTGTGTCTCCGGATCTCCTTCCCAGTGATTTAGGCCAAGACTGGACTTATTTCCTTGAACTATTACAGAAGCTTCCCTTAGCACAGGAGTCTGAGGATGACATTCCAAAAGAAATGTTAGGGGTCCTGTTCTATTTTAAGGACTCTGACCTACTTCCCTCCCAGCCTAGAAGGAAAAAGTTCTGGAGAGAGAAGTGGATTGAAAGGAATGAGCAGAGAGAGGTGGCCCCCTTCCATAGACATAATGGAGACCACAGACTCTATGGTTGATCCAGGCAATTCAGAAGATTCCAAGGAAAGGCCTTCCATGGCCCAACATGAAACACCCCCTCAGCAACTGGACTCAAAGAAGCTAACAGACTTCACAGATTTCCATGTGGAGCAAAAAAACAACAAGACTTTGAGATGGGTCTTCAAACAAGTAGCAGCGATAGACGATGAGAAGGTGGACCCCCCCAAAGGCTGAATAGTACCCTTATTTTGCCATTAAGACAGACTTATTCTATTGCATAGACCAGGACAGGCAGACACAAGAGATACAGATGCAGTTACTAGTGCCCCAGTATATCATTGCAAGATCCTGCATTTTACACACCCAATCCCATGTTCAGGACACCTTGGGAAAAAAAAGACCCTCTCTAGAATCCTGGCCTGATGCTTTTGGCCAGGGGTCCTTAAACAAGCCAAGAATTTCTGTGCACCCTGCCCCGAATGCCAATTAATGCCCCCCCCCCCAAGAGTGTTCCATTGGTTTCATTAATATCCTTTCTCTGGGTGGAGACCCACTTTGAATGAATAGGAATCAACTTTATAGGCCCCCTAGAGAAGAGTGCCTCCGGAAACAACATGATAACAAGTACATTCTGTACATGACCTGATACCCAAAAGCTATATGACTCCGGTCAGGAAATGCCAAGACTGTCACTAATGAGCTACTGAAGGTCTTTGTGTGGGTAGGGATTCCCAAAGAGATCCTGACAGACCAGGGAACAAATTCCATGATGAGATCGTTCTGTGGCCTGCTGAAAATCTAAGCATTATGCATATCACTGTACCATCCACAGATGGATGGTCTAGTGGAAAAATGTAATGAGATGCTAAAGAGAATGCTCAAGAAATTCATTACCCAGGACCCTCAACATTGAAACCAAGTACTTCCAGCCCTACTCTTCACCAAAATATGTTTGGGAAGAATCAACATGACTTTTGTAAAGGGAAATCACACCTCACCAATCTATTAGAATTCTTTGAGGGTGTCAACAAATGTGAGGACAAAGGTGATCTAATGTATTTAGTGTAGTTCCACTTTCAGAAAACCTTGGCAAAGTCTGTCACCAAAGGCTATTAAGCAAAGTAAGGAATAAGGGTAAGAGGGAAGGTCCTCTCATGGATCAGTAATGGGTTAAAAGCTAGGAAACAAAGGGTATGAATAACTAGTTAGTTTTCACAGTGGAGAGAGGTGAATAATGAGAGTCCCCCAAGGTTCTGTGCTGGAGCCAGTGCTGCTCAATATATTCATAAATGATCTGAAAAAAAGGGTAAACAATGAAGAGACTGGGCAGCAAAATGACAGATGAAATTCAGTGTTGATAAGGGCAAAGTAATATACATTAGAAAACATAATCCCAACTATACATACAAAATGATGGGGTCTAAATTAAGCTGTTACCACTCAATAAAGAGATCTTGGTGTCACCATGGATAGTTCTCTGAAAACATCTGCTCAATGTGTAGTGTCAGTCAAGACAAGAACCAGTGGGCTTAAATTGCAGCAAGGGAGGTTTAGGTGGGACATTAGGAAAAATTTCCTAATTGTCAGGGTGGTTAAGCACTGGAATAAATTGCCTAGGGAGGTTGTGGAATCTCCACCATTGGAGATTTTTAAGAGCATGTTAGACAAACACCTGTGAGGGATGGTCTAGATGATACTTAGTCCTGCCATGAGTTCAGGGGACTGGACTAGATGACCTTCCAGTCAGCTGAACCTTCATCTGCACCCGGCAAACACTGGGCAAAGCTGAAGGATGCTGCAGCCAAGAAGTTGTTTGCAGCTCCCCAACCAGTGACAATTTCTACACCAGCCCTGGCTCCAGCACAGAGGCTGCTATAAACTGCCAGGATGTGAAGGCCCCACAGGGCAGCTCTCAAGTCTCTTTTTGCACCAAAAATGGGTCAAATATTTGGTTTATTGTATTTGTTACTTATTGCATGCTGATACAGTGCTTGGTACCTTATGGAACAGGGGAGAAAGTTTTTGTTTCCTGCTTTGAGGAGTTCACCATCTGAGAGTCCAGTGCTTCATCCATTTCTACCAAACATGTAGTTTATGATGTGATGAAATCCTATTGAAGCTAGAGCAGCCACTCGCGGTAGCAAGCACTGCACCTGGCAAATAAGTATTTGTAGTACCAGGTCTTAATTAGACATAGTACAGCCTAAATATAATTGTATATAAACCATTGGAAATTGAAGAAAAAAACCAGTCTGTGATTTTTGTTGTTTATTTTCTAATACTCCATGCGCTCATGACTTGGTGGGTTGTCATTGAAAGGCCAGATAAGAAGTGTTTGAGATAATTGTCTTCCTAAATGCAGATCTAAAGTCTTATGCTAATGTATTTGTAAAAACAAAGTGGTAATAGTAAAGCAGTCCCCTAGGGTGTGCTGGATTAGTATAATACTTCATTGTGCTTTGCTTTCCTAGTCACTACCTGCACCACTGCAAAAGTAGTAGTACATGATGGTGATATTATTAACTGCATCATGCATATTATTGATTTATTTTTTGTTCTGCATCATTATCCTTTCACCAATGAGTTCATTGCATTATTTTCATATACTTAGTCAAGCACCAAATTATGAAGCAAGGACAGGCTCCCATAATAGTCCCTTATGGTACATTACATAAGCGATTATTGCTGCTACCTATTATTTGTTGCTTCCAGCCAATGAGGTTTCTGCATTAATGGAATGCGCACAGAACAATTATGAAATAGGTAAGACTTGGGCAGTTTAAATTTAGCCCTTGAAATTACTTTGCTTCTTTTTGGCCACCTGCTGGCAGCTCAGATGCCAGCCAACAAATAAATTGTGCCTTTGTTGCAATCAGCATATAGACTCAATCAGCTGTAATGAGGTCAGATTACCGAATGACTCTTTGCTACCTTAATAATTAAATTGAATCCACACTTCTACTGCCCTCTCTTTCCCTGACAGCTGCAAGAAATGTGGCAAGGAACAACAGTAGCAATGGAAGTACCGTAAACACCAGCACCTCCCATGTACTCATCTGACTAATGAAAGCCATGCTTTTGTCTGTGTTGTGGTAGAAACACTGAGCCACTGTAGAGCATGCTAACACAAGTACTTGGACAATACTTTATAATAAGTGGCTTAACAATCCATTAAGCAAGGAAGCAAAGAAAGGACACAACTTTAGACATTTCACTCGGCGTGTAAGAAATCAATATATAGAAGTGGACACCGTTTCTGTGTTGCATATTTGGGTTCTTCCCTTTGACCCTGCTGGAAATTGCATGGAGCATAAGTGTGATAGCACTCTCTGTACGGACTCTGGTTCTGTGGGGGTGTTCCATTGCATTGCAGAATTTAAAAATGTCCACTTATTGTAAAAGGCTCCTGCTGTAGGACTTATGGTAGAAAATGCAAGATTTCTCTTTTTATTGCTTATGGCCCATAACATGTCAAGCTTCTCACTGGCTTCACTGATGTAACCAGTAAAATAAGTAGAATCATTTCAGGGAGATTTGTTGTCTTATTACATGATAAGCTTTATGTCATAAACAAAAAATTAAATAGTAAATCTTAGGAGAGGAGGTGGAAGGAGAAATATGACTCTGAAAGGGACTGGATAATACAGCATATAAGTGTATAAATAAATAATAATATTTATTGTTAAATGCTTAAAAACACTTGGCCAAATGGTTTTGCTTGTAATAGTCTTTTGCAGCTTCAGGTGAGAGCCCATATGTATTTTCAATGTCAAAGTACCTTCTAGTATTGATGGTTTCCTTCGATGACTTCAGGGAATAGGTTTTAAAGAAGCATCAGGAAGAATGCTTCCCTTTTCAGCCAACAGCTCATTTTACCCTTTTTGTTTGCATGCTTGTTTGTTAGTTTTCCCTCAAAAGTAACTGTAAGTTTTCTGTCACAGGCACATAGTTGTCTGTGGTCACATAACACTTGAAAGTGTGTCCAACTTCCTGAAGGACTTCCTGCACAAGGACAGAGATGATGTGAACGTGGAAATTGTCTTTCTGCATAAGTGAGTAATCTTTCGAAACAAAACCTTTCTTGCTCATCAAACAGGTCTGAATGTGTCCTAAAGACTCCTTGGAGTCAGTGTTGTTTTGAGGGTAGAGCAGGGGATGATGAGACTGTTAGGGTCAAACTTATTCGGTGAAGTTAGACCAGAGATATATTTGACCCGTTGGGTGAAATCCTGTCCCCTTTGAAATTAATGGCCAATTAATGGATGTCAATTTGTGATGCTTCCACTAGCTTTTTATAAGTCTAAGGTCGGGATTTAAGGAGTCTTACTCCTATTGAATTTCAGTGGGATTTAGGTGCCTGACTCTCATAAACACTTTTTGACATTACCAGTCAAAATCTCTTTGAGCCTTGCTTTTCCCCTGTGTGAAATGTTAACATACTTACCTAACGTACAGCACAAACCAAACATGTATATAGGTGTGAACTACTATCTCTCCAGTTTATCATGATGACACAAAGACCAAGATTGCATTATGAAGCCACATATTGCTGTTACAGTTTAAAAAGCCTTATTTCATCTTCCAATGAAGCTTTTTTAAGTGTGTAGTATCAATCCATGAATACGTCCCAGTCTTGCTGTCAGATGCTATTCTTCATTGATTGCACATTATCTGGTAGTTCATTGCAATATATTTTGTTAGATTACTGAGGCCTAAAAATCAGTTTCTAAATATTTGTATCCATTATTAATCTAAATCAGTGTCTTTCCTAGGGCAGGCTCAATATCTTTCTATAAGAAAGTCTCAAGAACCTCCAGGCAGTTGCACCAACATTTTTCATTTCTTTTCTGCTCAATGGGCCCAAATTCTGCCATCAGGTGCCATCACATTGACTTAATTTGGAACCATATGCATCAAAGGGTGATATTTGACCCTAACTGATTTTAGTTAAGCCGGCATTCGTCTGGTATACAATTGCTAGATTGTTCAATAGGTGTTTGTGTTGTGCTGCATCCTACAGCAAGTGGAAACAAGTCAGCACGGAAGAAAAAAGGAACAGATTGGCCCTGCCTTGTTAGTTAAAACTTGACACTTTAAAAAAATAAAATAAAATAAAGCTTCCTACCATTCTCAAAATAATGCTTCTGCAGAAGAGGACCAAGTATATTTTATACATGCAGTTAATAAATTAAGGAAGCAAATGCTGTACAAAGAATGAGAAGCCTTGATCTAATAGGCGGTACAAGAGAAATAGTTTAAATAAATTTCAAATAAATTAAATAATTAGGGAATGATAATTAATGAAGGATAATGAATTAAATACATATATCTGAATTTTTGAAAAAATAAATACCGTGACAGATCAGATCATCCCTGGTTATCCTGATTTGAACAGCGTATTTGCCAACATTGAAAAACTAATGGAATGTTGAGAAATAAATCTTGTTTTCCTATTGGTTACCACAATTGTTCCCACCTACTAGCATACTTAATAGTACTTGAAGCCATTGGACTTTAGACTCGTGCTCCTTATATTAAAGAAAAACTCAATAGGTTTTTTTAGGTCACTAGGTTAATAGATCAGTATATTTTAAAGAGTGCATGACACTCAGAAATAAGAAATAATATTCAACACATATTAATAAATACTGCAGAAGTTTTCTTTGGCCCTGGATAGTAGTTCTAAGTGTAGTTTATGGAGATTAATTTCTATCATGCAGTCTATGGGGAAAAACATGTTAGGAATGCCCATTCATAGGTATGTGTATTATCTATCTTCATGTCCAACTTTTATCTCACAACTGTCTAACAGTTGCAAGCTAAATTACAGTAAAACTGTGTTTTCTGATTCTAACGACATATTTCAAATATGTGCTGAAACTTACCCAAAGATGTGCATAACTGGCTGCTTTTCCAAACACAAACATCATGAAAGAGATTCTGCTGCATTTAATCTTCTCTTTAGGAGATTACAAACTTGCAGAAGCTGAATATATTTTACCAGTTTTATGTAAATTAACAGAAATAGCCCATTCCAATGACTTTGTTAAAAGATTGTTGGATTCTAAAATTTTGAAAAATGACTGGCATTATCCTGTACCAAGAAGTGCTCCATGTACACTGATGTTTTCCACCACCCTTTTAGCTGCTCATAGAATCTGAACAGTTTGGAGAAGTCCAAGATGCACTCTGAATTGTAAAAATGAATGAGATGCTGAGCACTGAATGATACAATCCATGTAGATCTATGAAATTGGTGCAGTCACCCCCAGGTATGGGGGCTCTCTGGTTTTACTGTATTAGACTATGACTGCTAGCAAAACAGCAGTACTACAAAAACAAAATGCTGTTGCACAGACATAGTGATGCTGCAAGCAGATAGAAACAGCAAATTGCTTTAAATTATTTAAAAATATATGTTATCTGGTAACATTAGTGATCGTGTTCAAGTCATTTCCTGTCAGTTAACGACTGACTGGGCCACAACTTCTCCAGCCAGTCATTAGTTGCCTGGGAATGCCCTTCCCATCAGCAATTTTGCTTAAAGGTAGTTGCTGTTTGTCACTAGCATCCCATTACACATAATTCAACATCAAATTGGCATGTCTTAGGGAGAGGCTATTAGAAATAGCTATTTGCTTGAGAGAAATATGGTGTTAACTGTCTTTTCCTATCAGGAGCAGCATGCATTTCTAAGTGCCATGAGCTGTTTTTGAATGAGTGATATTAATGTATTTAACAGCAAGCAATGCACTTTCCTTCCTGTCAAACATAATGATTAAAAGGTTAAGAATCATTTGTGATAATTGGATAAAGGAAGTTGAAAATGCATAGAGTTGCTACCTGGCTGATTTTATAATATTGCCATTCAATTGGAGTAATGGATACAGTTGATATCCCCTGGTAACTGCTCATGTTTTATTAGGGTAGTGGAACTTAATTTCCAAAGGGAATCTGGAGGTTCCAGCACAAAAAAAAGGTGTAACAAACTTGCACGCACAATTGCATATGCACTTTCAACAATAGTTTATAGAACTCTGGTAACTGCCCGTGCACAGGATGGGTGGCTAAGCAGTTACTACTCATTTGAGCATGCATTTGCAGTAAAAGCACACACAACTGCAAGTAAACATTTTTTTTAATTTTATTGACGCTGTTTACCTGGCAAGTAAATGCTTGCTTTGTTACTAAGAGAGCTAGGTAGATGTGGGCCACATCTTTATAATGGATTACTTTTCATTTGACTACCTGCTTATGTGAAAATGACCGCTGGTCAAAAATGACATGACAAACTTATAATGAATGCACTTAGTAACAGTTAATACAATCTAGAGCAGTGGTTCCCAAACTTTAACAACCTGTGAACTCCTTTCACTAAAATGTCAGGTCTTGCGAATCCCCTCCTAAAAATGAACATTTCTAGGGATTTTCTCCTTTACCTGAGTATAAATTATAAAAGCAGTGATCTTGGAAATATAAAATTTGTTTTTATGACATGCTTATTATACACTATTTATTATTAAGTGTCCCTGGCCTCTGTTTGCCAGAAGCTGGGAATGAGCAACAGGGGATGGATCACTTGATGATTACCTGTTCTGTTCATTCCCTCTGGAGCACCTGGCACTGGCCACTGTCGGAAGACAGGGTACTGGGCTAGATGGACCCTTGGTCTGACCCAGTAGGGCCATTCTTATGTTCGTATTTATCATTACAGTATTTTTATTACATTATGAAAATGGCAACATTCTTTTGAGATCTCACTTTCATAGCGTGTATCACTTTGAATAAACCCATTAGAAGACAAGGCTCCTATGTTTCATCAAGGAATATCAGATGTGAAACAGCATGAAGGTATTTAAGAAGCCAACTCAAAGAGTTCCTCCTACACAAGCATTCAGGTCTTGAGCAGTCCAGGCAAACAACGCACGTTACAACAAAGTTTAAACTTGTTCGTCATAATAATTTTAAAACCAATACTAGCTGCCTATTTAGTTTTAAAAACAGCAAAAAATATCCACCTCCCTTTCCATTTCTTATTAGGAGTCTTGAAGTTTAAATCTCCTCAGTGTGATAGATATGTTTGCTTTGATCTGCTTAGCTCTTGGAAGTCCAGGGCCTCCGGGCTGCTGACCCCGTGCTGCCCGGGGTCCCTAGGGACAGCTCTGTCTGCTATTAGGGAATTTTTTTCCGAGAACCCCCTGTAATATTTCGCGAACCCCCAGGGGTTCACGAACCCCAGTCTGGGAACCACTGATCTAGAGGTATTATCAGGTCCTCTTGGTGGCTGTTAACCTACTGTATGAATTATACAGTCTGACTGTATGACTGGAATTACATCAAAGTGCAGGTAGATAACTGTGTGGTCTGGTCTGAGTGAGCAGCCCATACACTAGGCAGATTTTCCTTTCACTCAAATAATAAGCTGCTGCTTTTGCATCCTTTGGTCTTCAATTCACGTGCTGACAGGGACAAATTCCTAATGAAGCTGAGGAGATTTTAGGGCTCAGTATTGCTCTTGTATGTATGAATTGATGTTGCTAAGAGCACATCTTTGATGGACAATTTTGTTCCTATTTTCTAGGTTTGTTTGTGTTTCTTAATTAACCTGGGAGCAGTAGAGTTAATAAATAATGCTAGCTGCCAATATGGACCTTTTCTGTGCTGTTATTTATGATTCCTAGATCAAAGCTGTGCCAAGCAGTACGGATACTGCATCTATGTCAATGAGACAGAATAGTTACACATCAAAGAGTGTAAAGCACCTCACTGTGTTTGAATTGATGGGAGTTGCTGTCACGGTTCCATGAGTAGCTGCACCTCTGTCCCCTTTTCTGGTCTCTCTCAGTGCACTCCCTTCAGATGTTAGGCCTCATGCCTTTGTCTGTCCTTAGTGGAGTTCTCCAATTCTTCCTCTCTTAGACGGTCCCTGATCTACATTACCCTGCATGCCAACTGTGATTACTCAGCAGGCTTGACCAGGTTAGGCATCTGTGAGTCTTCCCTTTGGGAGCTTCTGACCAGTGGTTAATACAGGCCACTGGACAGCTTTCTCAAACCAAAGTATTATTTACTCTTAAAAGCAGGAGCAAAGCACAAGATAAGAGAAAACAGCTAACCCTGTAACCCTGACAGCTGCAACATTCAGGGAAGCTGGTCTTACCTCCGTTTGGTAGGCCACATTCACATGTAAGTGAAAAGAATGGAGCTTTGCTAATAGTAGGTGAGGCCCACTGTTTTCACCGCACAAGAAAAATATCAATGGAATTTCAAACAGTTTAAAAATGAATACAAGAGCGGGACAGAAACGTTGTGCAAATTGATTTCTTGTTTGTTTTCCCCCCCAATGCAGTATCTCCCCTAACCTTGAGCTGGAAGCTCTTTTTAAACGACACTTCACTCAGGTGGAATTTTATCAGGGTTCAGTTCTCAATCCGCATGACCTGGCAAGAGTAAAGGTAATGATTCTGTTGATTCTTTATTTCTACTATCTGTCTTCTCTTAAATAAGCAGTTTCTAACTCCGATCCAACATCCACTGAAGTTAATGAGGATGTTTTAGTTGACTTTAATAGGAGAGGTCCTATGGTTGTTAATATTAATGTTTAACATTTTAGAACTTGATGTTATAAACATTATTGGCACGCTTGCATAGGGACAATTAGAAAACATTTTTTCACCATTTTTCTATTGTCAGGTGTCCTGAAAAAGTAAATACAATTTGAGATATTTGCTAACCTATAATAAGATGGCTGTATTGGTTAAAGTACCATACTCCATGCTAAATAATTCTATCCTCTTAAAGCAAACCCTGAAGCTCAGAAGAGTAAAAGATACCAAACTTATATGCAGCATTACCCCATTTCGTGTCTTTCTAATGGGACGTGAACAAGCTTCTTAAATCATAAAGATCTTTGCCTAATGTTAAGCTGTTCTAGTGAGCAGAAATTAGGATGTTTGCCTGTTCTGGCTACAAAAGCTGTTCAGTCCATTTTTACACAACATACACTGAGCTGAGCTCTAATCAGCAGCATAAAATGATGTCCTTGTAATGGCTATAAAATTCAGTCTTGTTATCTTCTCTCTTCCATCCCCTGCTTTACTGTGTGGGATTTGCCCAAATGTACTGAAAAAAAGTCATTTTGTTATATTTTAAATCTGCTGCTTTATGCTAACTAGACTAAGATTGATGATTGTAAGTTTTGCAAGTAGATTAACTTTGCCCCTAAAATCAGTTATCTATTATTACACCTCTACCCCAATATAACACTGTCCTCGGGAGCCAAAAAATCTTACTGCGTTATAGGTGAAACTGCTTTATATTGAACTTGCTTTGATCCACCAGAGTGCGCAGCCCCGCCCCCCCAGAGCGCTGCTTTACCGTGTTATATCCAAATTTGTGTTATATCGGGTCGCGTTATACCGGGGTAGAGATGTATTTTTATTATGTTATTGCCCAAGGACCCAAACAGCAGCTCTGGCCCTGTTGTAATAGTCACTGTACAAATAACAGAAAGACAGTTCCTGTCCCTATGGGTTTAGGAGCCTGACCTGCAACATGGAGTTTTAAAACTTTGGCATTTAACCTGTTGGTGCTTCATTTTTGGTATCTCTGAAATAACATTAGTAATCGGTAGTAGTAATAACTAAAGTACTTACCTACAATGAGCACTGTAATGTTTAATATTTGGAAAGTGTTTTGAGAAGTTAAAGTGATCAGCTCCGTGTAAGTATTGGCACTGATATCATAAAGAGTCAGAATCTACATTTATACTCAGCAAAAGCTATAAACTGTTGTTCTTGCTCCTGGAGGAAGAAGCTGATTTCTTAGCAGCTGGTGGCTGTGAGAAGAAGTTGGAAACAAAGGTTTCTATTTATGTTTGCTTTATTTTTTCGGTGTCTCAGATAGAGTCAGCAGATGCATGCCTAATCCTTGCCAATAAATACTGCGCTGACCCAGATGCTGAAGATGCCTCCAATATTATGAGGTAACCTGAAGAGTTTTTGAATATGGTTGTCATTCTCGTTTCTGACTAGCAAATTGCTGGTGTCTAGGTGGACCATACCCACATCTGTTACAGTTGAAAACTTCTCACAGAATTGCTTCCAGAGACAGGGAATTAAACTGGCGGAGTGCACAGGATTGCCTCAATAGTGTGGAGATGGAAGAAGTATAAGATGGAAGGGCTGGCTTGGGTATAGTGTGTCCATGAGGGTGAAATGATGAAAGGAGGGAGTGCTAGCCCAGGTAACCAGCATAGGTCAGCTACAGATCTTTTTGCAGCCAGTACAACTTATGTGGCCTCACAAATTTTAATCTGGAGAATGAGGATAAAACGGATGCCCACATTAAAACTGCCTTTGTGTGCCCTGTACTTTCTACACGTTGCCAGCATCATAGGGACCTTAGTGTCCCAAACACATTATCCTGTGCATTGGGGTCAAACATATTTTAGTTCAGAATCCAATATACAGATTGTCTCTTCCTACTTGCAGTCTTTCCTTCAACAAATATCTTTATTGGTGTCCTTGCAAGGCAAGTCCAATTTTTCTTGGTATGAGTTCCTGTGCATTCCTCTCTGATCAGTAAGGGGAACGATAGCATACAGGATTTGGTTTCACATGGTGGGGCTTTTTTGTTAGGGGTTTTTTTTTTGGGGGGGGGGTGTTGAGGGAGCGCCTTCAGGATTCCAGTTTTATGGAGCAAGTAGTTGTGTTCATTGCTGTATTCTAAAAAGAATCCCTATATTCAGTGGGAGTCTGAAGTTCCCCTCTTTTTTTTTCTTTGTTTGTCCCATCTTTTAGAAGAATGGAGCTGAAAGACCATATTAATGGTGTTGGCTCTCCCAGGCAGCAGAGGTAGAATGCCCTGTACCTCTATGCCATAGGGGGGAGGGATAGCTCAGTGGATTGAGCATTGGCCTGCTAAACCCAGGGCTGTACGTTCAATCCTTGAGGGGGCCATTTAGGGATCTGGGGCAAAAATCTGTCTGGGGATTGGTCCTGCTTTGAGCAGCCGGTTGGACTAGATGATCTCCTGAGGTCCCTTCCAGCCCTGATATTCTATAATTCTATGGGTATAAACAGTATTTACATAGGAGGGTCACTGGTTACTGTTCTCCAGCCCCATTAACAAATATCACCGGCTTTTCTAAAACCTAAGGTAAAAAGATGCCATTGTTAGTCTCATATAGTAGGGGTGAAGTAAGGAAATGACAAAAGTCAGTTTAAAATAAGGTTGAGTCCTCCATTATTTGTATTTTGCTCATACAGCCTTAGTTTTAAGGAGACCAGTCTGCCCTTTTTAAAATTAAAATGTAAAAGCTCAGTTAAAAATTAGCTTATACAGTGAATTGGCCAGTGTTATAAACCACTTTTTTTTGGCCTGTCAGATGCTTTCATTCTATGAGTTGAAGGTAGATACAGGAATACAATTAAAAAAAAAAAACTTTACTGGAAAAAGCCCAGTATGCCTAGAGTGTGGGATGCCTGTGGAAGGAGCAGGGTTTAAGTATGCTCATTTCATTTTCCAAAACAACATTTGGGATGTGTTGGGAAAAACCCTAGTTTGATTTTAATTGCAATACATAGATTAAAGAGTATTCCAGATGCAGATTAGTGTGTTCTTAAATGGATTCAATATGTTTTAATGTAATAAAATGTAAAAGTGTTATTGGGAATAGAATTATCTTATGTGATCTCACAATAAATGAATTTGATTCAATAAAACTGAATTAATTAAACAGTGGGAAATGGGACATTAATAGGGGGAGGGGAGCATCACACTCTTCTCTTTGCTCTTCAATTCTCCTCCCTACAAAAAGAGATTCAAACAACTTTATTGGACAACTTTATTCTCTAATATTAGGAATAAGTCAACAATGCAAGTTTTCCCCTTATGCTTGCAATGCAACTTCTGGCAGCACACTATTGTAATAAGCTGTTGCTCTCAGAAGGTATGTGTACTCTGCACACTAAACCTGGGCTGTGACTCAGGTTGGAGCCCAAGTCCCCCTTTCACACACACAGATCAGTCTGACTTGAGTCAGCAAACATTGAGGACCCAGGTTCTTAGAACCCTGATGGAGGGGTAGATTAGAGCCCAATTCCAGCTGTGGAATGGGTCCAAGCCCTGTCATTTTGCAGTGTGGATGCTGGTCAAGCCGCAGGTCTGAGTCAGAAGGTCTATGTACTGCCGTGTGTAGTGCAGTGTTAGCATGGCTGTGAGACCCAGGTCCAGAAATTGTAAACCCAGGTTTACAGTGCAGTTTGGATGCTCAAACAGAGGCTCAGAAACACCAGGCCCACAAGCCTGGGTCTATAGGAAAAATGGTAGAATGTCCAAGATGTCCACCAGTTAAAATGTTAATTTTTTCTTTCTTTCTTCTTTTTTTAAAGAGTAATTTCCATAAAGAATTACCATCCGAAGATAAGAATTATCACTCAGATGCTGCAGTATCATAACAAGGTAATGAGAAGACCAAGGGGTCTCGCTCTTCAGAGCTACCGCAGTCTCCCACCCCCACTTATTTTAGCTGCCTAAATGGAAAGCATTTTTCTTTCTCAGTAGGAACATGTGAATACGAGTTGTCATGGAATCCACTAAAGAGTTAATTCTGTTGTATTTACATATGCCAGGGACCTTATCAGAACCCTAGGATGTTTGTTACCCTGGGGTGCTGAGTTTCCACAGCTCCCATCGATTTCAGTTGGGCTTGTAAGCACACATCTCCTGTGAAATAAGGCCCAACTTGATTCACTAAACCATGTATGATGCTTGTATTACCTATACAGATGGGAGAGTGTATGGGATTACTGTAGAACAGTGGTTTTCAACCTGCAGTTGGTGGAACCCTGGGATCTGCAGACTATGTCTAAGATTTCCAAAGGGGTTCGCACCTTCATTTCACCTTGAATGGTCTCATGAAATATATGTTAACTTCTATGCTAAACAATCTGTTCTATGTTGTACTTATTTGTGACACTGATTAAGTTTCCCAGACCTGAAGAAGAGCTCTGTGTGGCTCAAAAGCTTGTCTCTCTCACCAGCAGAAGTTAGTACAGTAAAAGATATTACATCACCCACCTTGTCTCTTTATAACCATAGCTAAAGAAGTTTACGCCTGCTCAGGATCCACCTGGTTTTACACAGCGTGATTTTTACTCCCTGGGTTGTCCCCTGCACATACATGAGTGGAGGACAGCTAACATACAGAATTTGGTCCACCTTCTTTTGTGGAACAGAATCATGCTATTTCTGTATTTTAAACACCCTCAACGAGAAACATGTTGTATTAAAAACATATTTTCTCTTTATATTTCTAATGAAAATTAATGAGGAAATGAAGAAAAAATGATGAATGGTGATAATCAGATTATCAGGAGGAGGAAAGCATGGAGGACTCTGTTTGTGTTCATGTGCATGCATACGTGTGTGAGAGATAGAAGGATGAAAGTGTCCACTAGAGTTTTGCATTTCACAAAAACCTCTAGAATGTTCTATAAAATTTTGAGTTTCTTTAAATTACTTTGAGTTTGGCAAAACATGTTTTTCTCGCGGTTTTTCCAAGGAAAATTTGATATGAAATCAATTATATATGGAAGTACTCATATAGGTACCTGGCTGATCGTTTTTGTCCACTATTTCATTGTGCACTAGTCCCATAATCAAAAGCCTGAGAAAAGAGACTCCTTACACCAGGCTCTGTGCTTATTTGATTCTGGGGGTGAGAGAAACCAAAAAAGTACAGGTTATCTCATACTGTTCGAGGGCTGGGCTAGATTAAAAAACCTGTGGTTGATTTCTGGGGTTTATGTGTGTTTCTTATTTGTCAGGGAGTAGCTGAGATTGCTGTAAGAGGGTGTATACACAGACCTGGGTGCAATGAAACTTCATAGCACTATGTAACAACTTCAGCTTTGTTGATGGGCCTTACAAAGCCTCCCATCCAGTTGACAGAAGGTCACCATAATATAAGATCTTGAGGGATGCTGGGAGATTTTAAACGGAAAGGTGTGAAAGTGGAGAAGTTCCTGATACAAAAACTCTAATGGAAATATTTTGGTTTGGAGGAATATTGATTTAAACCCCCTAGTCAGGGCCGGCTCCAGGCACCAGCCTTGCAAGCTCATGCTTGGGGTGGCAGATTCTACAGGGCGGCATTCTACCCAATCCTAGGGAGGCACAGCCGCTTTTTTTTGGTTTGTTTTTTGTTTTGTTCGCCGATCCAGCCACCCTGTAAGGGGCAGCGGCGCGGAGGAGGGGAGCACCCTGCTGGGAGTGGGCTGCGTGCTCCATCTGCCCCAGCCAGTGCCCAGGTCTGTAGCAAGCCCGGCAGGGCAGCCCGCTTCCTTCCCTCCCCGCCGAGTGGAGCGGCGCGGAGCCCTCCCGGCAAGCGATGTGGCGGTCGGGGCTGCGTGGCGAGCGCCCCGCTGAAGCCCTGGCCACCCCCCTTCTCTCTCTCTCCCCTCTCCCCCCCGGCTAGCCAGGGCACGTCTGCAGTGCAGGGAGTCCCCCTGGCTCTTGCTGCCCCTCAGGTTTTTTATTTTTTCCTGCTTTGACGCTCTGGCCGCGCCGCAGGTTCCCCCCACCCTGCTTTGCCGCTCTGGCCGTGCCGCAGGTTTTTTTTTGCTTGGGGCAGCAAAATAGCCAGAGCCAGCCCTGCCCCTAGTCCAGTGATGCTCAGACTGAGGCTTGGAAGCTGCAAGTGGCTCTTTAATGTGTCTCCCGTGGCTTTTTGCAGCACGTGATATTAAAACACTATGTGATTTTACTGTTATTAACCAATTGTAGAATACTTGGTCAGTCATTTTCCTGTGAGAATAATTTATGAAACAATTAATTCACACTACTGTAGCTCTTTTTGGTAATGTTGATCACTGACATCTGAGTATCACTGCCCTAATTATATTTTTACCTTCTACAGGAAAAGGAAGTCCAGCACTAAAGGAAAAGATTAGCTATCACTTGCTTGGCTATTTCCTGTGTTAGCGGGATGCAGGGAAAGTATTTGGGGTCCTTTACCTGTGTTTCTTCCTTTAGGCCCATCTGCTAAATATCCCAAGCTGGAATTGGAAAGAAGGGGATGACGCAATCTGTCTTGCTGAGCTCAAGCTGGGTTTCATAGCCCAGAGCTGCCTGGCACCGGGCCTCTCGACAATGCTAGCCAACCTCTTCTCTATGAGGTCATTCATAAAGGTAATGTCTTGTCTCATTAGAGTGTGTTAGCCTGGGATTCAATTTGGCATGGGGTTGAGTAGAGAGCACAGCTTAAACTCAAAACAGATAGGGACACATTAACCAGTTTAGTGAAACACACACATACATACACACACAAATTCTGTTATAAATTGGGCAGTGGGCCAGGTTCTTAAAAAATTATGTTTTTATTTTTATTTGGCACATCTATGGCCATTAAATGATGGTTCAAAGCACAATCCATTTCAATCCCTTTTTTAGATAAACCACATGTTTATCTATCAGGAAAGCCTCTGCTGTTAAAACAAAAATATGATTTATATGCATCCCATATGGCAATAAAGCGCCTAGAGAAAAAGAATGATCATTTTGCTCTTTTACATAAAGTGGCTAGTGGACCTCTCACTGTGAGAATAAATATGGACCATGTGTTTGTACTTAAGACGAAACCTCCTACAACATAATTCCTTTATTTATTTCTCCTCAGTCAAAGAGCCCCTTAGGGCTTTATTTGCAAAAACTTGTAGTGCTGTTGTTCCCACCCTTTTGGGGCAACAGTACCATCTCACTAGACACTAGACTAAGACCTCACCTGAGTTAGGCCATGTCTACACTAGCACTTTTGTTGATAAAACTTTTGTCGGTCAGGGTGTGAAAAAACACACTCCTGCATGACATAAATTTCACCGACAAAAGCTCCAGTGTGGACAGCACTATGTCGGTGGGAGACACTCTCCTGCTGACATAGCTACTGCTGCTTATTGGGGGTGGTTTAATTATGCCGGCGGGAGAGCTCTCTCCCATCGGCATAGAGCGGCTACACAGGAGACCTTACAGTGGCGCAGCTGCAGTGAGGTCTGTAATGTAGACATAGCCTTAGTCAGTGTTCCTTTCCTCTTATTCTGTTTTCAGGCATTCTTGCTAGACATAGAAGTTGGCCAGTTTCCAATCCTGTATTTGTGATCAGGGGCCAGGACACGATGGAATGTGAGGTGGGCCATGGCTCCTGAAGTCCATCATGAAAGTGGGCAGGGGTTTCCTGGAGTACCAGGTGGGAAAGCCAGTTTGGGTGCACGTTCCAGTGGTTGGGAGCCTTCGGTGCAGTGCCATCTGATATTTATTCTCTTGGCATGAGATAGAAGCTGGGGTTTCTGAGGCTGCTGTGAGAAACTTTTTTTGAAGCCCCCAGAAAGTCATCATAGATCCTCAGGGGCTGCAGACTCTAGCCATCTTAGGTAAGTATATGTGGTCAGAAGAATTCAGCTTTTCAATATGGAAGCCAAATTATATGAAAGGAAGCTTGGCCTCCTCACTTTGACATGTGCAGTTAGACCCTTTGCTTCTTTTATCAAACCATGAACTTTAACTCCTTTGTCTTCACAAGCTCAGTTTTGCTGAACTCTCTCTAGTTCATTGGCATGCTGCAGCTCTGAAGTTAACCACCCCCCTTCTTTTATCCCCAAAAGAAAGTGTAGCAAACACAAAGCAGGTGGTTGTCTCTTCCTTTAATTATATTCTTTAGGACTGCTGTTCACTCGAGGGTCACTGTGTTGTCCCTTGCTCTGCTGCTAATATTTGTAACCAGAATCTGGCACACTCAAGGGTGTTGAGCTTTCTCTGCACCCACACTGGCATATACCAGCTTCCTTGTGGCACCTTTCTAGGGATGGGCCCTTCTGTGCCCTTGCTTTTGACCCCTCGTGTAGGCCAGCACCTCTGTTCAGTTTCTGCATTCCTCAGGGTCGAAGGTGAGTCAGCCTCTCTCAGGAAGGGCATGCGTGTATCCTCAGTAACCACCACCCCAATGCGGGTTACTTTAAATTTAAACAGATTTCACTGAGAAAATTGGGGACAGCATCAACAAGTAAAAATCATGGCTTGGGAGGAAACTGTACCACCTAGATCTTGTAGTTACAATCTTTCAGTTAAACAGGATTAAAAATTGTGCATCTTGACATTAATTTGTCCCTCTTGCCATCAGCATATGTCTCTTTCAAGGCTCAGTGGGACACCAGCAACCTGTTCTGCCAGTCTCTTGTCCCTTTTCAAGTCACCCATTCTGTATTTCCTTCATTTCATAATGTATTTCTTCCATTCGTACACTCCTTTTCAGCAATGTAATGAGATGGGGCTGACTGATCAACACTGGGTTACCCTTTATGATTTCCACTACAACCTACAGGCCTGATTCTGCAAGGCTCTGAGGACTTTCACTGAGGGTTTACAGCATTCTGAACTTTCATTGGAGTCAGATGGAGTCTTGCTGATTCTGACCAGGTGTTTCTAGTTGTATAGTATAATCATGGGAAGATTGCCTAATTTGGTTTATACCAAGGCAGCAATGTTGCTGATTCTTATTGTACCTGGCACTTAGATACTATTGTGCTGTGCATAGTACAATGAGTGGATAGATCATAATTTCTGTTATTCTGTTTCTGGAAGGCCAACGGGCAAAGAGAACATTTCTGTGCCCTTATCAGCAGGCTATTAAGATACTGCATCAGCAGTGTTTTAGTATTAAAACAAAAATATATAGTTTTATCAATGTTTTGAGAGAAAACAGTTAATATTGGTTAACATCAATTTCTGCCATCACGAATCAAGAACAATGGATTATTCATGTGGGTAACTGGGTGTAGATATTATCAGGGAGTTCAGATTTCTGAGTTTGTTAATATCTGGGGCAAAACAAACACATGAGAATTGATGCATGTTAACTAAAATCAAAATCCCCACTCTGTCTATGCCAAGATGATGTTGACTGTTTTTAATTGAAATAACGTTCTCCCCCAACACAAATAAATTTGTTTGATCTCAGTAACCATTAATTGATGGAAATTGTGAACCAATACAACACTCAGAGCCTTTGCAACTGCAAGAGGACTGTGCTGATATGGATTGTCAGGAAGGGCTATATAGGAAAGGAAGAAATACATTCATAAACTGCTAACTGGGAGTCCCTTTCCTTCCATTGCAAAGTAGCACTCTTTCTAGAACATTTAATTTAAGAACTGTCAGACCTTTACAAATTCTTTAGGCAAACATTATTAGTGGAGTTTTGTACATATACTAGAACATTGCCAAAAAAATCTTACTGAAACTTCTGTATTTAAAAAAAAAAAGTTTGAGGTGTGTTCCCCATTCTTCCTAACATGATTAGAAAGTTATTTAATGTGTTGTAAATGTTTGGTCAGTCACAGACAAATGAACTTAATTGGTGGTGATCCCACACACATTTAACTTGTTATACCTTAGTCTGCAGCAAAATAATTTGTGTAAACTGTCTGCCCAGCATTAAAGATAAAACAAATTTATAAACCTCAAAATGTTATATTTAAATCTAATATTTTCCTTTTAGTTTTATAACTGTAATCTCATATGGAATATTTTAGTTTGCTCTTGGCACTAAATTGAATCAAGGGAAAATCAATTCAAAAATGTTGCATAACCTGCAGTTGTAACAGAAATAGTTCTGTAAATACTTAAAAGGAAGAAGGAAAAAATGCACAATAAAAAGATTTAAGAGAAAACAAATCAAAACCATACAGTAAGGTACATTTTAATAGGCCCATTCTTTATCTTCTGTTGAAAATTCTCTGGGTTATATAAAAAAATGAAATGATATGCCTGTTTATTTTATACATGATCTCAGCACTAGATTGAAATATTGCTCTATAGTGCAATTAGAGCAATTACTGTTTATGGTTTGGATTAACAAACATTTGTTTACCATTGTAAAAATATTTATAAAAGTAAGTAAATAAAGCGTGGGATTAGGAAGGGCCAAATTTTGCCCTTGGATACAAGCATGCAACCTCATTGAAGTCACTGTGCTACATGATTCATTTGTTTTACAGAATAGAATTTGGCTGCTGATCTCAATAGGAGTCTGTAAATTATGAACCATCTTTGTACCTCCCTGATGCTTGAGTCACTGGGCATCATTTTGGTCATGAGGAACAATTTAGAACAGCTAGCATTGGTGATGCCCAGCCATGCCTCCCAGCCTAGTCAGGGCTGAACTGGGTGTGGTAGAGATGGCATAACCAGCTCTATGCCACCCAGGCACGTACCTGCTCCAGAGGAAACCCCAAGTTGGCTTTCAGGTTACTGTTTGCCCCCAGAGCAGCACAAAGCAGTCTTGGCGTGGGGGTGAGGATCTGGCCCTAAAACTTCATTCATCACCAGGAGATCATCAGTCAACACCACCAGGGCAGTCTCAATTACTATACCCAGGCATAAACCCAAGCTGAGTGGGGCTGAGGAGATGATGCTGGAGTAATTTCATCAGAAATTTCTTGGCAAAATTTGAGACAGGTCGACAGACTCTTGTCATCTTTAGGGTGTGATGCAAGATTCCTTTGTTTTGGAGAGTCTTCTGTTGAGTTGAGGAATGTTGCAGGCCATGTATGGTGGAAAATAAACCATTTAGATCGGATTCATCTAAAGGATGTGGCTTCAGTTTGTGTGCATGGGGACATCTGTTCCTCTTTCTTGAACTGAAGTACATCAAAATGTATATAACTTATCCAGATACTGTAGGGAGGGGACCTTAGAAATAGGTACAAAATTTTAGCAAAAACCAGCTTGAGTTGCAACATTTTATTTGCTGTGAGACCCTCAGGATGAGGGAATGATGAACAAAACTCATGGTAGTTAACATTTGTATGCTATGCCTAATATTTCCAGTACAGTACTTAGGGAAAAAATAACCTAAGGTATTTCCCTAAGTGCCATATATGTGTGTTCTGACATGCCTAAATCAGTTCAGGATCTATTCATTGAGACAGGCCTTTGAAAATTGGTGTGAGAGTCAACTATGAATATACTACATTGAAACTGCCCTCAGATGGGAGTAAGAGCCACACATGCTCTTTGGTCATGTTGTCCTCTCCTAAAGTATATAGTTACTAAGCCAGTTAATCATTTGAATACATTACCACCAATTTACATTAACAAGTGTATTTTTGTTCGATGTGTTACCTCCTCTCCTCCCCACC